ATCTAGTTTCATTGTCATCTCAAGCAATTCAGATGTATTAGAAGACCTTAACAAAATTTGGACTTCTGTTCAACAATAAAATGTATATCTGATAGCATTTTTAATAGCATTCATTCAAATTATGCTGGAAATGATATCCTTGTTCCTTGTACTGTTTGCTGGGAATCGCTTGCTGCTTATCAACTGACATTGTTATTTTCAATTACAGGGAATGCTAGGAATTGTGGTTCCCCTGATGCAGTTGAAAAAGTAAGGCATCAGATCATAGAAAAGATGGACTTGTGGCTCTCTGAGTGCCATGCTAGCGGTAGGAGTTCCATGTGATGCTATTTATAGCAGAGACGCATATACTTATAACACGGCTGATTAACTAACCTTTATCTCATGTATTACCTTCTTAACAGATGTTTAGTTCCTCATCTATGAAATGTATTGCCCGCATGATTGTAATCTTGTCTTCCCTGGAACCCAAGTGTGTAGCAGATGACAGTTATGATCAAACTTGTTCTATTTATTCTCCAAATGTTACTTTCTCCTTGAACGCGATAGCCAACTATAATGAAGAGCAGGAGGAATTACAGCTGTTAACATCTTCGACCTCTCATGTCAATCTTTTGTACTGTCGCTCTGTTTCTGATTTCTAGCTTTTCCTGCAGTTTTGCTGCTCTGGTTAGAGCTAATTGAAACCGTTTTTTTTTAAATGTTTTTTTAAATATATTAAAATAATATTTTTTAAAAATTTATTTTTTATATCAATACATTAAAATATATATATATAAAAAAATTGATGGAAAACAATTCCAAACATCCCCTTTCTCACTGGCCTTTATGCTGTCTTTTGGTTCTCCTTGGTTTGTGTCTCGCTGCTATTTTTGGCTAATCCTCCCAGTTTCCTATGTTGCTTCGGTTGTCTCTGACCCTCAAGAGTGCGTTTCTGCTGATGTAGCCTTTTTACATTGTTGCTGCAGAGTTTTGTTGGTTCTGGATTGTTGTCCGGGTATTTAGATAGCGTATTTAGCATTACAATAATGATTAAGTATTTTTTAAAATATATTAAAATAATATTTTTATTTTTAAAAATTTATTTTTAACCACAAATTAAAATGAATAAAAACATATAAAAAATATTTTTAAATACAAAATAAATAAATAAATTTTTAGCAGATAATATGTTTACGACAATGCCAATCACACTCTTAAGTATAGGCCCAGGTGCTGATTTGTGTGCTTTGGCAACTGAAGGGCGTTTTCTCCGCCAAGTCTTTTTTCTCTTGTTGGTTCTGGTCTCTCCTCTCCTACCTGGCTGGCGCCTTTTGCCTCTCGGAGGTTTTTTTCGATAATACTGTCTTTTGGCTTATGAAAAAAAAACAGAAGATTCTTCAATCTTTCACTACTCCCTAGATTGAAACCAAAATTATGATGTAAAACTGGTAAAACACAACAGTGTTGAAGTTGTAAATTGAAAGGAAAGAAAAAGAAGAAAGGCAAGAGGACCAGTAATGGCTAATGTTTTCTTGGACAGCAGTGACTTCTGTTGAAACCTCATTGCTCCTTTATAATACGTTTCTTTGCCCAACATTTGTCAACATGATGTGTTCTTTGGATGCCACTCTTAAAAATCTCTTGAAGCCCCCGTGTGTTTACTTCCCTCTGGAGGAATACGGAGTTCATTGAATCCCATCGAGCCTTTATTTTTAAGTTCTTAGTAAGTTTTAGGTCTCTAAGTTGATTTGCCTTTTCAGGTTTCGTTAGCCCTACTGTTGGCGTGGATAACTCAATTGGCATGTTATAATTCCCGTCTTCTGAATCTGCAAGGCTTAGGTTTGAGTCTCTTGTAAACCAAAAAAACATTCTATCGGCAGAAAACTCTGCAGCAACAGCATAAAAAGGCTGAGATCCAGATTTATTGGTTTTGGATCCAGTTTTTTTATAAAACTGGATCTTGTGTGCCTAATGTTCACCTTTACCATACCTAAGCTTAATAATCCAGATTTAAAAGCTATGAGATTAAGAGATCAGAACCCTCAGTTTAGCAATCCATCGGGCATTTAGACTCCACATTACAAAGATTAAATTTTGTTTTTAAGCATATAATGCCTCCACGAATTCTCCTTATCATGAATTACAAGTCACTTGAAGTACGAGTTATGAACAAAAAAGGCTCCTCCAATGATAAGATAGAGAAGGGGTTTATCATCACCGTGTCTACTTTAGAATTGGTTCCAACAATTTAATAGGAATAGTTTTTGACATACATTCCTTTCTTGGCTTCATCAGACTCTCCTTCGCCTGTGTATTTGCCAAGCTGAGCAATAGAGTTGGCCTTTGCTCTAACAAGCAGAGCATCTTGAGCTGCCTTCACATTCTCCGGTCTGCCTCCCCATGTCTTGAGGCAAGTGTTTTGAAGAGCTCTTGCATATGAGAATGATACATGCCATGGGTTGGGAGCTTGGTTCATTGCATTCAAGTTCAAGGTAGCCTCCACTTCAGATTGCCCACCGGAAAAAAACTGACAACAACAACAATTCAACAATTTAGCAACTAAATCAGTGGCTAGTGTGTGTATGAATGTTTATGTCTGTGCATGTTTGAGATAGTTTTCAGTCACATACCATGATTCCAGGAACAGCTGGTGGGACTCTTCGTTGGAGAAGCTTGAGAGTGTATTCAGCAACCTGCTCTGGTGTGGCCTTGTCCTTGCACTCTGCACCAGGAGTGACCATGCTGGGTTTGAGGAGGATACCTTCGAACATGACATTGTTCTCGGCAAGGTAGAAGAACACCTCAGCCCAAACTTTCTGAGCCACTTCGAAATTTCTGTCAATCCCATGTTCACCATCAAGCAGAATCTCAGGTTCCACAATTGGGACCAACCCATTGTCCTGTGAAAAAAAAGGACCAACTTAATCGCATAAACACGACCAAAAAACCAGATGATGATCATGTCAATAATATATCTGATATTGTTATTACCCGAGAAATGGCAGCATAGCGAGCTAGCCCCCAGGCAGCTTCCTTCACGGCAAGCGCGGATGGACCATTGGGAATGCTCACCACAGTGCGCCTGTTATATCATATTAAAAGATTCTAATTTAGCTGTGATTGTAGTTAAAGCAATCATGATGTTACAGAAATGAAAGAGTTCAACAGGACTTGATAGATGAAACCAGGATGCATACCATTTGGCAAAACGAGCACCTTGTTGGTAGTAAGCAGCAGATCGAGAGGCAAGGCCATCAAGACCTTGGCACCATGACTCGTCGTTAGAGCCAGCTAAAGGAACCAAACCCTGTAGTTTCCAGCTCTCAATTGTTACCGAAATCATAATTTTTTACTCTCTAGACATAAACGATTGGAAAGGAGTGGATCTCACCTTGTCAACCTTGATACCAGGAACAATATTTTGCTCAACAAGCACATCAACTATTTTCCTGCCATTAGTGGTTGATTGGTAGAGAGTCTCCTCAAAGAGAATAGCACCTGAAATGCACTCGCCAAGACCAGGAACAGTAACAAGCATTGTCCTATATGCCTGGCGATTAGCCTCAGTGTTCTCAAGACCGATTGAGGCCAGACGCTTTCCGCAAGTGGCATTAGACTCATCCATGGCCAATATTCCACGGCCAGAAGATGCTTTTTCTGCACATAATTCCACAATCTCATAATCATGTAAAGGCCCATTTCCTGAATTCTGATTTATTGTTTTTGACAAAAGCTGAAATCTAAAGCTTAGTTTTCCTGTCAGGACTGAAGATATGACTCGTCTCTAGTTACATTCATAAATGAAATTTTATAAGCTTATAAATCTGTTAACTAGAAAGCCTAAAGTAAACTTCTAAAGAGTTGTGCAGTGTGCTTTCCTCTCAGCTTTTAAATATGCAAGTTAATGGAAGCGGCAAGACTGTAATCGATGGTGTGTCAACACATACCGCAGTCTTGACAAGCTCATCAGCATATGAGCCAGCACGAACTGAGAGTGCAGAGGGTGCAACTGAGTGGCATCTAACCAAAGAGACTGAAGGTTGGCGAATGGTCTGACCCTTGACCCATTCTGACTTGTCTAGAACTGGGGAAATCTTGAGGAGAGTAGCGGAGGCCATTTTCTATCAAAGTTGTAAGAACGAAGTTCTAATGTACTCTCCTCCTCTCTTTCCCTGAAGCTCCCCAGTGCTCTCTTTAACACAAACAACTTGGTCTACTTCATAATATTTATAGTTCTACTCCGGTATCCCATTTGAAGTTGTAATGCAATGGCCAGTCAGTGGCTGCCAAGTCAGGTGATGATAGTTTCATTAGTCTAGATGTTTATGTGGCTGATATGGGACGTCTTCGTTCTTGCGGTACGGCATCGGTCTGCAAAATCAACGGTTGTCTTCTCAAATTTGTAAAAGCAGAATAATTTGAATCCCTAATAAGCCATACTGAAAATTAGGATTCGAGGATTGATTGATGACTTCAAGGTTACTGAAGTAAGAAACGATTGCTTCTACTTTGGCCCTTCTGCAAGCCAGCGAGTCTCCTAGTCCTAGAAGGGAAGATTTACAGTACATGGCTTTTAACGCTACAAATTGTGTTGAATTCACTGTGGCAAAAATACTGGAAAAATATGATATGCCAGCACGTATTGATACAAAAACTTCATAGCAAGGGTGGTTATGAGTTCGTAAGCCTTACAGGTTAATCATAATCCTGCAATCTGCACACAAATATTTACGCCTATAGAAAAAATCATTTACAGATCGGTTATAACCATGCGTGCAAATGCCAAGTTGCAGATACTCACAAGATGGACCACTGAAGCCATGAAAACTGCTGCTACGAGTCAAATCTCTACCATCTAATCAGTCCATGAGAAAACAAATGACTGGTTTAGATTCTTCCCAGAAAAGCAAATGTATCGCCACTCCTTTGAGTCCACAAAGCAAAGAGCAAATCACATAACAAGACATGGCAGGAGCTTCTCAAGAGACCAACAATGGTCCATAAAGATCCTCGTGATCAGGGCTACAAAAAACGAAATTAGACCACCCTCAACCACCAATTGCAGGAGCACCTTACAGCTTAAGTGAACAAGTCGACAAAAACTCTTACATCGATAAAAAAAAATCTAAGCCCCCAACACGAATTTTCCACAGGCATGATTAGGGGAGAAAGATTCCTCATATTCCACGACGATTCTATAACAAAATGCAGAGAAAGAACACGAAATGTAATACTTGTCCATATGATGGATACACCTCCATTTACATTGATAGCAAAACAACAGAACAGTCATACACACCTTCTCTTCCTACTTTGGGAGGCTCATTGAAAAAAGCTAACACTCACTATAAGCATCATTGCTATGGTTAGAAAGACGATCTGGCTTAAAGCAAAAATGCACAATTGATGACCCACTTATCAATAACACCCATTCCAACAAAATTGCAGCCTTGTATTGGGAGCTTTTACTATAGAATCTGGCACTACTTCAAGTAAGTAGATGAAACCCAAAGTAACACATAAGTTATCAATGATGTAATCACTTCAAAACTCCTTGGTCCTTTAACCAATGGCAACGGTGGAATCACAGATACCATCAAGAAGGTTCCCAACAGCCATGCGAAAATAAAAGATCCAACCCTGCACCACAGCAGTGAATGATCCATGACATAGTTACTTTTTGAGGAATTCAGGTTTGAACAGTAGAGAAGATCAACAATGAATTAAGAAAAGAGAATAAGGGTACTTTGGTGTTCTGAAACTATTGAGCAGAATTCTAGACAAACTCATGATAGAAAAATCATTAGAAATGAAATTTTGTTTTAATTAGTACACCAGCTTTGGCATCAATGACAAAAATGGGTTTGTTTCGAAAATTTCCCTAGAATGAGAATGGTAAAAAAAAAACTACCTTAAAAAAAAAAAAGACAAGTATCCAACAGATGAGTGAGCGCAGATTTAACGAGGAGAAGAAAAGAAATGAAAGACATTGTCCACATACCCGTAAAGAAAAGCCCACAATTTGTTTTTCAGCCGCTCATGTAAAAAATATGTAGTAGCGATCAAGGAAATGGCTACCTGAAGGGTTGGACCTTCTTCAGTTGGAAAGAGAAAAGTCAGAGCACCCAGTACTAAAAATGCAATTGCCGATTTAATAATAACATTTGTTGATGGAGTCTGGAACCTGTTTATGACAAACTGCATAAAACGAGACTGCTTCATTTCCCTAGCTTTTTTCTTGAAGTCAATTTTTGGGTTCTTCCTATCGTAAAACTTCTGCATGATTATTTTGTCATGAGCTGATTCAATCGCATCCACACTTGGTTTGTGCCCACCATATTGATTAATAAGGAATTTCCTTGCAGCTTGAATTTCATCTTCAGAAGCCTCCCTGCTTATTCCAAGTCGTTTGTATGGATCCCTTACATGGATTCTTGGGAAAACAACTGAACTTGCAGAGATGGTTGTAAACAAAGATTTAGGGAGTGAATGGTGCTAAATTCTTACAATTTCTAATGAACCACATCAATTAACTTAGGGCACAGAAATCAAACAGACTAGTAACTAAAACAGAAAAGGAGTGGAAACTTCAACAAGCCTTTATTGACCCACAACACAAGCATGAGCATGAACTAACTAGTATCTATAAATGAATAGTACATCCATTTCTTACTTTCTGGAAGTGCAAGCAAGCATAATATCTCAAACAGTCATTTTGTTTTCATACACTTTCTAGCATTTGGTATAAGATAAGTTAACAATATGAAAGAACACTCCAGGCATGGTTATTCACGACTCAAATAAGCCATGCAATGCAAGACTTTGGCTCCACTTAGCTAAAACCAAACTGTTCATCACAGGTGCAAACTCATATTGTCTCCAGACATCCAGAATGTTCTGAAGTTTTTCCCTGTAAGTATTCTTCGTGCCTGTTTCCCGGCATAACATGATTTCATAAGTACGGACTAAGCAAATGCCTCCACCAGTTGGTGTGTTAAGCAAATTGTGATTTTCTAACTCATTCTAACAAAATTGCTGAACATAAAATCAGCTAAGATATCACTCTATTCTGTCAGAAAGACAAACATCGAGCTTTTCACCAAATCCATTTTCTCTTTAAGACATAAGTTAGGATGACCATCATAAATGTTAACATGACCCATCTTCAGACAAGAAGGTTCTCCAGTTAACAAGCACTCAACATGAAAACCCTTTGATCTAACAACCAGCAGTTAAATTTAAGTCCAAAAGCCAACATACAGATTATAAAAGTTAAAACGATCAATAAAGAAAATATTACCTGGTCGATCATTGGTCATATCACCACCATAGGAAGCATCCATTGCACATTTAACCAAGTAAGTTTCCTTTACATTACATCTCTGTACAGAACCAGCCAAATAACTTCTGCGCAATTTCAACAAGCAGGAAAAAAAAAACAAGTATCAGAGTGTACAAAATCTTCTGAATGAAGTATAATGCTTGATAATAACCCATAGATACCTTTTGGGACCAAGCAATTTAACATTGTCTATAGGTTCCTCAGCATTCAGAAACGCTGAATCTAGTCTAGACGGAGTCCTCGGGCCATGTAATGGTATCCGTAGACAGCATGGATTACCGGTGAGTCCAGACACAAACATCTTTACACTGCCACGCCAAGCTCACAATAAAGGAACCACCATATCAAATATGACACCACTAGTCACCACTCACCAAAGTCATCTTTCTTATCTCATTTTTTGTTTCTGGGTCACCAATTTGAATCAAGATAAAGCACTTCTAGTGATTTTTTTATAACAAAGACCCACAGTTATCCCCTATAAAAATCAAACTATCTTATGCTACACATAATTTAATTCTTTATTAAAAAAAAAAGAGATAAAAACCCATTTCCATTTCTACATTTTTGGGTATAAAGCAAACAAATAAATAGCATTACAGTAACTAAGACTAGGAAAAAGCAAAACAAAGAAAGGAGAAAAGGCTTTAATTGCAGTTATGCTCTCAATCTTTGCTTGGAAAAGCAACATCCTTGACTTTGAAAGATTGAGGATAAGGTTAAGGTTAAGTTACCTGAATTCGGGATTGAGAAGAGTGAAAAATTTAATCTTGTATCGTCTGAGCTGCCGATGCAACGGATACGGAGGGAAGCGAGGGGAGAAAAGCGAGAAGAAGATAGGTCCTAAAACCCTGCTCAATTGGAGTGAGTTAAAAAAAGAATTTCATAATTAGCGTGTGATAGCGATTCTGTGATTAGCCTTCTAAGCATCTTCTCGCTTGGAGAGTTTTTAATTCAACGATGTCGTTTTCGTATTGCTTACGTAAGATATTGGAATAGTTAAAAATTCCGTTGCCGGGACTTGAACCCGGGTCGCTCGGGTGAGAGCCGAGTATCCTAACCAACTAGACTACAACGGATTTGTTGGTGATTTATAAATATATTTTTTTATAAACGTTTTCTCAGGTCCAGCTCACATCCCCTGGTACGTTACAGAGTTTTCCACTCGAAGCTGTTGTGGGCTTGTGGCCCATATCGTTCCGGCCGAAGCTGCTTCACACGAGGTTCACCATTTGGCTTATGCTAGTGCAACTGCATTCGAAACGAAAGGCACAAAAAATAGATTTGCTTCGTGAAGCGAAGGATTATTTTTATATTTTTAAAGTATTTTTAAAATTATTTTAAAAAAAATATTTTAAATTATTTTAATACACTAATATCGAAAATAATTTTTAAAATATAACCAAAATCACAATTCCAGGTATACTCCACCTTTACCCTTCCAAGGACAGTTCCAGTTTCCAGACATGAGGGTGTTCGAAATTAGGAACTTCAGGGTTCAGACAGCACCTTTCTTTTTTACGATGACGACTTTTTCAGTCTGATTTTACAGTCTAAAGGGGCTGTTTGGCGTCTGACTTTTCTTGAAAACAAAGATTGGGCATTTGCCGGAAATATGTTAAGCCGAAGCCTAATCTATTCGGACAAGCCCAAGCTCAATACATCATCGTTTGAGCCTTCCGTCAAGCCCATTTCTAAAGTTTTTTAGATATATTAAAAATAAAAAAAAAGGAGTTTCCAGGTTATTTTTTAAAATACCACATCATAAAAATATTTTTTTTCCTTTTTATTTTACTTTATATCTAGGCTGTTAGACGCATAATTGTTATATATAGCTTTTCTAGAGCTTAGTTTAAGTTAAGTTTCAATTTAAATTAAAAAATATATTCCCCTAATAAAATCTAATTGATCATTTTTTTATAACTCGGATGATTTAACATAAAAATGATTTGTACAGGTTGCCCTCATGATGCACATATTGGCCATGTTTTTCAAAGAAAAGAAATTCTTCATGTTTTTTTATTATTTTCTAAAATAAATATTTTTGATATATTACTAAAAAACAATTTAAAATCAACCATTTTATAAAAAACAAACCATACCTCACATGGGTACTCAAATGATTGCTTGCCCTACAGTTGAATTAATACGGAGCCATGCTTTTCAACATGCTTGTGTAGTATACCCATTAGGACCATATTTTATGAGGAACATACTTTTGTCATCTTCCACCATGCCCTCTGCCCAACACATACCATTTCCTGTCTTCTTTCTCGTACCACATTTGCAAGCTAGTACACCCCTACAAATAGAAAGGGAAATTAAAATCAACCATTTTATAAAAAACAAACCATACCTCACATGGGTACTCAAATGATTGCTTTCCCTACAGTTGAATTAATACGGAGCCATGCTTTTCAACATGCTTGTGTAGTATACCCATTAGGACCATATTTTATGAGGAACATACTTTTGTCATCTTCCACCATGCCCTCTGCCCAACACATACCATTTCCTGTCTTCTTTCTCGTACCACATTTGCAAGCTAGTACACCCCTACAAATAGAAAGTGAAATTTAATAAAAGGACCACGCCAGCATCTTGTCTGCCCAATTGCACCGTTCTCTGTTCATTCTTATTTTTTATTTATTCATTTATTACATTAATTTTAATTTCACGGCTGTTAAAATTAATAGTTATATAATTTTTTAATAGTTTTAAAATTTATAAGACTCAAATTAATAATTTTAAAAAAATAAATTTAAAATTTAACTAATTAAGATGCACTTTCCAAGTTATTCTTTATTAATTTTTAGATTTAGTAATTGTTATTATTTTTTAACACCTAACTAATTAAACTAAGCATTTGATTTTATTTTTTTATTTATTTTAGTTTTATATCCCTTTGATTCTTCCTAACAAAGAAAAGAAAGAGATTGAAGTTATGTTTTTCTAAATTGTTATAACTATTTATTTTTTCAAGATAAATCTAATTAAAAATGTTGTGTTTATGTATAAATAAACTCTTACTAATACGTGTTTGGTATTGTAAATCAGTATTTTTTAAAAAAATATTTTTCACTTATAACTATTAGATTGATTTGTTTTTTAATTTTTTTTAATATTAATATATTAAAACATAATGTGAGGCTAAGAAAAAGCCAAACTGATTAAGGCATAAAATTTGCAAAAAAAAAGAAGAAAAAAGCCCTGATAAATTGATAATACTAAATTTATGGTTTTCACAGCCATCAGCAAAAAGGAGACCTCGAAAAACGCTCACAAAAGTGTGTTGAATCCAATCTAATCCAGGCTCCAGCTGTTTACTTTAGGCCACTTTGATTACCAAAAACAAAACATATTTACCTGGAGACTTTTAGGCTTGTCGTGAGCGTCTGTTAATAGTGACAATCGTCTCAGTTTATGATAAAATATTACGTAGGCTCAATTTTAATCGCTTAAAGAAATTAAGACACCAAAAATACTAGGAGGTAGGGGAAGCCAAGGAATAACTGGCACAGCTTACCAGCTTTTTGTGTTATTTTCAATCTTGCAATCTCTCTGGCTTTGCAAAAACCTGAGTTTCATGGAAACCAAGTACAAACACAAAGTCATGTGATGAGGAAAAGCTGTGGAGCAGCAACACTATCACTTTTCATGCCATGTAAGGTTAACATTATGCAATTTTCAACCTCTCATGACTTTCCTGACAAGTCGAAACAGACAAGAAGAAATAACACAGCACTAAAGGCCACTGCTAGGTCTAATGGGTGTGATTAGAAGAGACAGTGTAGATATAGTCACGTTCTGGCAGATTCCTCTGCCATTCCCTCTCCTCTAGGTTTTCAACTCCTTATCTTTCTTCCATCTCTGCTGAGGTTTCAGCCTTTCAGCTAGAGGGACGGAAAAGCTTTGCTTGTTTACTTCTCATTCTTTCTTGCCAAAACTTGTGCGAAACATCTACTCCACAATGGCGTTGAAGCTACTGTTGTTGATGGTATTGTTTGTAAATGCAAATTCTTTGTCGGTGCCAGAAACGCTCAATGGGTTATTGGTGCCTGAAGAGGATTACTCAAAATGGTTAAAACACATGGGTTCTTTCAAGCATTCTCTCTTTCAGAAAGCAAAGAACAAGTTCAAGCCTTGTTTAACCATAGAGGTAAGCAAGAAACCAAGGTCTGGAGCATTTCCTACAGTGCAAAAGGCCATCAATTCATTACCAGTTATTAATAACTGCAGAGTTGTCATCACAATTGGTGCCGGGACTTACAGGTAACATACAAGACCAAGAATTCGATCTTCCCTTCATTGCCGACAGGGTTTTAGTAGACCACGAATTGTAGCTAAAATGCTTTATCTCTTTATGTTTAATTACAATGCAGAGAGAAGGTTGAGATTCCAGCTACCATGGCTTACATTACCCTGCAAGGTGCTGGTGCCGACAGGACCATCATTGAGTGGGATGACACAGCCGACCGAATGGAGAATGGACGGCCATTGGGTACCTTCGGTTCTGCAACATTTGCTGTCAATTCCCCCTACTTCATTGCAAAAGACATCACCTTCAAGGTCTGTTATACAGCTTGAATTGATTGTAATTATCTTCCGTTTGGCATGCGGTTCTTTTGTTAACAACTGTTTGTCTTCCCACTAACACAATTTCTAGTAAGAGCTACTGCAGTGAATCTCATACATTGATCCAATTACTGGATTATTTAACCTGGATCAAAGCTTGACTAAGCTAGACTCTTGCTAGTAAAAGTTTTACTGCTTCATGACAGAACAAGGCACCTTTGCCACCATCAGGAGCTCTAGGAAAGCAAGCAGTGGCGCTGCGAATATCAGCAGACACAGCAGCCTTCATAAGTTGCAAGTTCATTGGAGCACAAGACACCCTGTATGATCACATTGGGAGGCACTACTTCAAGAAATGCTACATTGAAGGTTCCGTGGATTTCATATTCGGAAATGGGCTCTCTCTCTATGAGGATTGCCATTTGCATGCTGTAACAAATAGCTTTGGAGCCTTGACTGCGCAGAAGAGGCAGAGCTTCCTTGAGGAAACAGGCTTCTCCTTTGTCAGCTGCAAGGTCACCGGGTCAGGTGCCCTCTTCTTGGGCAGAGCATGGGGCAATTTCTCCAGGGTGGTCTTTGCTTACACTTTCATGGACAAGATCATCACCCCTAGAGGATGGTATGACTGGGGGGACAAGAGCAGACAGATGTACGCGCTTCTCCCCAACACTAAGATCGACTCTGATTACGCATAACCAACACTCATAGTTAATCAATCTTTAATCATCAACTAACCAATTAATTAAAAGAAGTGATTTATCCTATTTGAGTTGATTTTTGCCATGTTGCTAGACCATAATATGCTCCACGCTTGGATAACTTATTTGCTCTGCAAATGTCTCGCAGGACTGTGTTTTTTGGCCAGTACAAGTGCTCAGGACCAGGAGCTGATTTTGGACGAAGAGTCGCGTGGTCCAGGGAGCTAACCGATCAACAGGCCAAGCCATTCATCTCAATTGGCTTCATCGACGGCCATGAATGGCTTCTTAATTCATAACTATCGTTTAGTGTACTCATCAGGCCAACAGTAAAATAAAACTATAAAAAAATTGTAAAAGATCTCTATAAGCTGTTATTGCTGGAAATTTGAAAAGGCTTTCATTTGTTGCTCCTGAAAAGTGAACTTCATGGTTTCAATTCTTCGAAAGTTCAGTTGGAAAACAATTACAAACATCAGAGACTGAGGTGGGAAAGATGTAAAGATGAGGAAACAAGTAGTCCAGCTTGAATACGTGCAACCTGAATTATTGAATGCGGAGCTTGCAGTTCTTTTTAAGAAAACTGAAGTTAACCCCCCCCCCCCCCCC